GGTAAGTAGTTATTCAAAAATTACTGATAGTTATAAAACATAGAACAGATAAATCACGATAAATTTGTCTAGTAAAGAGTAAAGGCTCAGGCGTAGCATATGAAGCATAAAAATAAGAAAAAAGGAAAATTAATATTCCTAACTAAAAATGGTTAATGGAAGAGGGGATTCGAAAATAGGCCATTTTATCTGACTTCATTGAAGTGTTACAGCAAAAGCATGTGTCGTACTGCAAAATATAACTATTTAATAAGCCATTCAAAACGAAGGAGAATAAATGGGAATCAGAGATTAAAAATTTAATACGATCATAACTCCGTTGCGGCGAGCCAGACTACCGAGATAAAAGTCGTGATTAATATAATTATAAACCAAAAGTAATATTTTCTCCGAAAAAATCGAACGATATGGCTTTACAAATCTATCGTATGGTAAGAGTTGTTCTGTATGGAATAATTCAATAATTTGATGATCTTACTTAATGGGTCGTGTTCATATTTTTTCAGGATGTAAATTATATGAAAACTATTATTTTTTAAAAATATGTATATAAACTAATGAAGCACTGATGGAATGAAAGTGAAGATGGATCAAAACAGAATTTCTTCCAAAAGTATGAAGAGAAATCACAGGATAAATAATGAAAGCAAATTTCTTTGCACCGCAAAAGAACTAAGATAAAATGCCATAATATGAATGCAGAAGCCAAAAAATGGATATAGAATTTGTGTGAGTTCAATTTACATGATAAATGAGGTAGATAAAAAGCAATATGTAACCTTTAAATTAAAATGATTTGCTTTATAGAACTAAGCAAAAGTAGATACTATGGCGTGTTTTCTCCGTGCATGCCGAGTGAATTACAGAAACAAATCAATGAAGAAAAGATAAAGTAGTTTTAACAATTTCGGAAAATGCATCCATATACTAATAAAGGAATCTTGCTTAACAAAGCAAAATAGAGGTTATCAATTGGAGATACAAAGTCAAGAGGTGATCAGTCAATTTAGTGAGAAAGCATCAGCAACTACATTACATTTGAAAATAATTATGAAATACAAAGATACCAGAGATTAGAATGATTAAATTATACCTTAAAATGGATTATTTCAATTTTCTATTTCAATGATTTCTGAAAATGGTACAATGCTCATACGGATTTGTTCATATTTAATTGTCATGCACAAATAGTGTAATGTATCAGATTTTGACTAAAGATAAAAAGGATACGCCCCTCAAATTGCATAGTTTTAATTAACTTGATAATTTTAGACTTTAGACACTGCGAAATTTCCTGAATGCAGCAGAAAAACGGTACAAAAATAGTGAATGTAAGCCAGACTCAAGTAAATGGGTGTATATAAGCCAATTATGAAGATTAAGTGAACATCTCAGGGGGTGAATACAGTTAAACATAAGGTAAACAATTAATATTTTAGTACATGATTCATCATCTTCCTGAAGCGAGCATATATATATATAACCGGTGGAAGATGGCTAACAGAGATCGCAGGCTAGTTGAAAGCGCGAGGCCCGTAAATGATAGTAGAGAAAGCACATTTGAAATAGTATAAGGTGTTTCAATAGGTTTTAGATGGTAAAAATCAAAGTAGTTTGGAATAAGAATGCAGGGCCAAGGTGACTAAGCAACAGGCACGGGCTTTTGATATTTCCAGAAAAAAGTCAGCTTATAGGTGAAGAGAAAGCCTATGACCATATTTAAGGTTCTTGATAGTATGAATCTTCACAAGGCAATTTTGCAATGGCAAAGAAAAGAAGCCTAATAACCTCGACCTCCACCTGTGATACCGCGTCGCGATTTTGTAATTCCCCTTTTACCGCCATTACTACCTCCAGCATTTTCATCACCACTGCTGTTTAAGCCATAAACATTAGTGCTCTCGACCCCGGAGATAAGTTCAGTCGGAGCTGGCTGTGGACCATAAGGAAAAGGTGAAAGGTCACTATTCTGCAAAATGACGGGTCGGATACAAGGGACTGCCAAAGGTACAGACCTAAAGGTAGAGTGGTTCGAAAGGTTGAAATCCGAGCTTGAAAAGGAATCCTCATCAACCAAGGAAGTCGAAGTAGCAGGTTTCGATACACTAGGCCTGGGTGTCCAGGCGTGGGAAGTTTGAGGTTTGCTCGGATTAAACGTTGCTACCCGAGATGAAACTTTAGGCGGAGGCTCTTCCAGACGATGAAGGATTCGCGAATTTTGAATAACTGGCATGTTGAAGCGAGAGGATGGGGACTCAGGAGAGGTGAGGTTGGAGAGATTTAAGGTGATAGCTGGCGTCAAAAGGCCGGCATCAATGCAGTGATTACAGACACGTGAAGGAATATCAAGTCCACGATTCGGCACAGGTTGCCGGTGTAATGAGCAATTGTCACAGACGCCAGCTCCACATGCTCTACAGTGATGAATAGGGCGACGTAGAGAGAAGGCCTGGCAACAGACTCGGCAAGCAATGCAGGTCTCATTAGGTTCCCAGTAATCAGGACGAACGTACGCTTTGACGCATTCTATTAAAAGTAATAGTTTAATTTAGAAAGAAAAAAACGTGCTCATGGCAGAGTATACTTAATCCATTATAAAGAAAAAATTACTCCTATAGAATAAAAATAGAATTGTGAGATTGTCTGGTTGTTTGCAGAGAATAAAGAATCAAGCTATTAGGCATGTCAAGCCTTCCTTTTGGTAAACATATCGACTTTTAAACAGTATTCTTGATGAATTATTCGATATCCTTTAAAATGTGACCGAAAAAGAAACCGAGCCTGACCATAGGAAGCCTGCTAAAACTGAATAAGATAGGCAAGCTTCTATCAAACATTAACCTTAGGCTGAGTGACTTACACTGAGCTCATTTGTAAAGTTGATTCGATACAATTATTGTTCAATGCTCAGTAAGCCAGCATTTAATTTACATTGTAGATACGAAGATTACGGTACGTCTGTGTTTAAAAGAAAGATAAGAGAGGCTTAGGAAATACGTTGAATGTGAGGAACGGTGGTAGAAAGTTAATTAGGAAATAC